TCCGCAAGCAAGCCGCGTTTTGCTTTATCTATTCATTCTTGTTCATTTATTAATTATTAGCCCACCACTACTCATAAGCCTCATAGGCCTCATAAGATACATGATGTGCGAAATTATTTATGTATATCATGTCATTTTATTAGGTTAATGCAAGAATTTGCTTCCCGTATGTGTGGAGAAATGGGTGCGGGCCTTTATTTTGATTAATAAACATAATTTTTAACTGATATATGCGTCTTTATACTCAATACATAAAAACCGCAATTATTTTTGCATCAATCTAACATTTTATTTATTATATATCGTATCGTATGATAGTTTTCGAGCGAAAAATATTAATCCGGCGAGTACTAATAACATATTCGCTCCCATCTCTTTAATCAAACTTCTCTCGCGTGGTGTTATCAGTACCGAATAAATATTTTTTAACTTTTCAATTGTCTTTTCCCTCAGTGCGTCACATCGCGTCGTATCTGACGTCACGTTAAATTATTATTCCCACTTTGTTCAAATTCTCGCGACGCGAGCGTTGCTGTTAACCCGAGCCTCCGCAGTCGCGCGTCCTTCGCGGATGCAAAGGGCGACGTTAATCCCCGGAAATCCGAGTTTCTCAGCCAGTCCGTGAGCCCGCGCGCGGGACAAAGAAATCGCGCCTCTTCCGCGCGTTTCTTTCAAGCCCGGCGCGACGGTGCCGCGCATTAATCTTCGTAACAGTGCGTCAACCTGCCTACCGAGCGCGCCTAAGCGCATTCCTCATTGTTAGCGCGCGCGCGCGCGACTTTGCCACGGCGTTGCATCTCGCGGTGGGTGCGGGAGGCCACGGGGGCGCGCAGAAACGGTGAGGGAAGAATGAACCTTTGGCCTCGGCTCGGGCCACAGCGTGGCTCTCATTCCCTCTCACGTCCTACGGCGTAGCTCCATTATACTCGATGACCTCGATGACCTTCGCCGCTCTGAGACTATATACTACATACACGTCTATATACGTGGTTGCTCTCGATCCGTTCGGGCATAATCGTACGATCGTATCTGCATCCTCATTATCGCATTATCGTAACGCGGATTGGCGAGTGCGGATCAACGGACGCGCGCGCGCGCGCGCGACAGGGTCTGCCGCTGCAAAGTTGGTCAATGAAGTCAGCGAGGCAAGAAACGCTCATCGTCGTGATGAAAAGCGTTGATTGACGGCTCGTGCGAAAATTCACACGGTGGTAGTCGAGTACGGCAACCGTACGACATGTGAATCATTAGCGTCCAGTAGGGACCAAGTGTTCGCACGACGAAGCGAATAGATAGATAGATAGATAGATAGAGAGAGAGAGAGAGAGAGAGAAAGAGAGAGAGAGAGAGAAAGAGAGAGAAAGAGAGGTCTCATTAGTCACATTGAACGTTAATCACGTTCACGCCAAACTATCGGCAACTTTCGGACATCGTTGGATGAAAGGTCTTTTGTTTGAAATTTCCGACCTTGACGGTCATTAGTTCCGTTCATTTCCCGACTCGACAATACTTTGTTTTGTGTGTTCCTCATTCTTTTCCCGGCCAACTCAACAAGTTTGCCCACGACGTGCGGCCTAGTCCTTCCGCAGAAAGAGAGAGAGAGAGAGAGAGAGAGAGAGAAAGAGAGAGAACTTAAGTCGCTAACAATGAAACTGGTCGGATTCCGGAGATTACCAGGATCGTACAGGAGGCAGTACCTGTCGCAGACGCGGAAAAAGTTGACTGTGAGGTAACGGGCGGACTCGCGATTTATTTTCAACGTCCGCGAATTGCTTCTCGTGCGACGTCGTCGCGATTACACCGCGAGATCACAGATAAGCGTATTAAATGGGGAATGTGAGAAACCGATCTCTCTCTCCCTCTGCCTCCCCCTTCCCCGTCTTTCTCTCTCTTTCTCTCGCGAGTCATGCAAAACCCGTCCTGTCGACGGAGGACGAGGATCCTAAGAGACGACGGACGACATGGAGAAATAGCCGCGGGAGGTGTAGGCGCGGCCAGACTCGGCGAGGCGAAAAGGGGGATCGAGAGGAGCAAGTCTCCCGCGTATCACCTGCGGCAGAGGAAAGAGACGAGAAAGAGAGAGAGAGAGAGAGAGAGAGAGTGAGAGAGAGAGACAGACAGAAAGAGAAAAAAGAAGGAAAGAAGCAACGCGACAGGAGGAGGAAACTAGGAAGCGGTCTCGCGGGTAAAACGCGAGCAAAATACGCGCGCGGGAAATCGACCGCTCGCATGCTCCCAACTGCTGCTGGTGGCAGCAACAGCAGTAGAAGTAGTAGACTGGTAGAAGTAGCAGTAGTGGTAGTAGTAGTAGTTACGCGCATGAATTACACGCCCGGCGGCGGCGGCGGCGGCGGCGGTTTCCTCGATCGGAGGATCTCGGCGGGATCGTCCTCGCAACGATTTTTACGCGCGGACCCGTTCGGCGGACGCCGATCATGCACAACGGCCACCGGGCCGAGCGCTGATGAGCCGTATTTCCTGATTAACTGGATAGCCGATTAACTCGACTTCTCTATCGGCAGGCTCTCGCATTCGGCGCCGGCAGGATTATCTCGTATTTATGCGCGCTCGATCGCTCGCTGGTGTAATTTCGAGCCGCGTGTTTGCGCTACGAGCTACCGGCTCGCGTCGCTCGTCCTCGCGCCGATCGCAAGGTGCAATCTTCCTGCGAAGCGCGCCTCTCGTCCTTTCGTGTATCATGAGCGACTCCGATGAGGGCTCTTACTCTTACATCGACCCCGCTTGTTAGCGTGTTATCGAGTAAGCCGGGGCAATTGGGTGTTGAGTAGTGGCTCTTCAATCGCGATCGAGGCCGAAAAGTTGGCGATCAACGAATTCATATCGAACTCGTGCGTCGAATATTTCGGATTTAATTACATTGCGATCTATTTTTTTATACGGGGTGTCCGGGATCTTTTGGAAGCGAAAAATTGTGGAGATCAATCAGGTCAAACTGAGAAGAAAAGTCAAGTATAATTTTGCAAATATCGCATTAGTTATTAATAATTGAAAATGACTACATCTAGAATCTTTTAATTGACAACTTGGAAATTTGCATATTTATTTGCAAGAAAGGACTTTTTAGGTCTTTTTTGTTCAGAATGACCTAAACTACAATTATATGACGTTTACTGTGCCTAGCGACAAGTTTAAGATTCAGGGCTCAAAGTTCAATATATTCATATCTATCGCTAGACAATAGCGATATAATTATAGATTAAGTCACTCTGATGAAGAAAGTCCTCTACCATTTTGCAAATATTAGGTCAATCGGAAGGTTCCGGCCGTTTTCTTCAAAACTTTTTCTGCAAAACGTATGGCTTCATTTAAGAAACAAAATGACAAAGTACATCAATCAAAGTATTGTCCATTGTTAGCGATGACTTTTTCCCATTTTTCGGTCAGCAAGCGAATTCCGCGGCGAAAGAATGACTCATCTTTGGAAGGTATCCAGTCAGAGATCCATTTTTCGACGTTTTCATAAGAATTGAAGAAGAATTCCTCAGCAAGTGCGTGTGCCATCGACCGAAACAAGTGCTGGTCGGAAGGGGCACAGTCTGGTGAGTAAGCCGCATGGGGTAACACTTCCCCAGCGAAGTGCTTCTAACGTTTCCTCGACAGATTTTGTGACGTGAGGCCGAGCGTTGTTATGAAGCAAAATCATTTTATGCTGTCTCGTTTCATATTCTCGTCGTTTTTCGTGCAATGCTCGGCTCAAACGGATCATTTGTTCTCTGTAGAGATCCCCTGTGACTGTGTTTGACCACTTTTCAACAGCTCATGGTACAGCACACCCTTCTGGTCCCATCAAACACAGAGCATTGCCTTCTTTCCGTGGATATTCCGTTTTGGCGTCGATGTTGAGGGTTGGCCGGGATCGCAAATAGTTTTTCGACGTTTGGGGTTGTCAAAATAAATCCATTTTTCATCCGATGATACGATATGAAAACCCCTTTTTTGTTGCCTAGCAAGCAGAATTTCGCAGGTGGTTTTTCGCCTTTCAATGTCTCTGGGCTTCAGTTCATATGGGACCCATTTTCCTTCCTTGTAAACCTTTTCTAAGGTTTTCAAACGATCGGAAATGACAGATTGAGCACAATTTAATGCTTCTGCAAGTTGCTTTTGCGTTTGACATCTTCGTCCACCAATGCCTGCAATTCTTCGTCTTCGAATACTCTTGGCCGTCCAAAACGCTCTTTGTCCTCTACATCAAAATCCCCAATTTTAAAGCGTCGAAACCCTTCTCTGCATGTTTTATCGGAAGGAGCATTATCACCATAAACTTCTACAAGCATTCGATGAGCTTCAGCTGCAGTTTTCTTCCAATTGAAGCAAGAGATTAACACTTCGCGCAAATGACGCTTATTTGGCTCAAACTTCGACATTTTCGATGCAGTGAAAAACAATGTTATTGATGCAAACGTATACTTTTATGTGCTGAATGTTATTGACAGATGTCGAAACAAACTATTAAGCTTCGTTTAGACATTAGAGGCTTACGACAGTTCTAGCTAAAGCTACTTGTCGCTAAATGAACGATCCGGCTTCCGATTTACCTAATACATACGCAATGTTCAAGTTAAGTCGATTAAAAGGCCTCGATTAAAGATGTGGTCATTTCGTCAATCGTTAATAATTTGATAACTATTGCGATTTTTGCAAAATAGTACTTGATTTTTCTTCTCAGTTTCATCCGACTAATCCTCAGAATTTTTCGTTTCCAAAAGATCCCCGGACACCTTGTGTAATTCGAATCCAAATTCGGGTCCGGGTTTCTTACAGTCTGCGTTATAATATCGATATATGTGAAACCTGAAAGATCAGCTTGGAAGACGGCTTGCAGATGGTCGGAGAATTAAAGAAAATACATATAAAAGATATAAAATATAAAATAATATAAAAAAAATAGATATTGTTAAACGCGTATATTTAACTAAGAATACACCTAAGAACTGCGTCAACTGCGACTGTGTAGCCAACTGTATTCTCTCATATTGCAGATGGGCTCGCTGGCGATCGGGAGGTTGGCGTGTGCAACCGCGAGCCTGGTATTCGCAGTGCTGCTAGCGAGCGGTGACGCCGCGTTGGGTAAGTTCCTACGTCGAAATTAACCGAGTGCCTCTGTCACCAATCCAAGGGAAGATTCCGTCTCTCGAGATTGGAGCGCTCGCTCGCTCGGGCAGATTCTCGTGAGAAGAATCCCCGAGAATTCAGCCGGCGGACACGACGGCCTACCAATCGCGACGAGTGGCCGGTTAATGACGCAGGCGATCATTCGTCATCGTCAGCGCGTCACTTGTCGCGATTAGCGTGTTCGTTGTTCACGCCGCTCGGCAGCGAAGAGGGTTGCGCGATGGCGTCGGCGACGCGGGGCTCTGTAAACGCGAGGTCGCTTCCTCATTTCAGCCAGGACCGCGTTCGAGAAGCTCACCGACTACGACTACCGCGGCACCACCTATTACAGCGTGAGGAATCTGTCGCTGTACGAGTGCCAAGGATGGTGCAGGGAGGAGCCGGAGTGTCAGGCCGCCGCGTTCTCGTTCGTTGTGAATCCCCTGGCGCCGATGCAGGACACTCTCTGCCAGCTGCAGAACGAAACGGCCGCCACGAATCCGGCCGCGCAGCCTCAGAGGGCCGCCAATATGTACTACATGACGAAACTGCAGATCAGATCCGGTGAGCGAGCGTGGAAGGGTGTCGACGGGCGTCGAATGCCCGACGCGTCCGTCTCGTCTGATGTTTTAATGATCTCTTTACCCCCTCACTCTTAAATTAACTCTTGCACCCAAACTTGCGGCATGCTCACTCGGTTTTCCCGCACGAAACACTTTCCAAGAGTTCTACTTTCTTAATTATCTCGTACACACGAGAAGAAATTGTATCAAAATTAAACAAATATTTGTTCGAATACGACTGCGAATACGTTTGTTCAAATTAAGCGACTAATTTCTAAAATGAAATACAGAGGTTCTCTCTCTCTCTCTCTCTCTCTGAATGTAAACTTTTTTCTTGAATTTTAGAAAATAATTGCTGAATTTAAATAAATGTATTCACAGTCGTATTCGAACAAATATTTGTTTAATTTTAATACAATTTTTTCTCAGTGTATTCAGTTGCTCCATAAAGTCATCGCGTCAAGGTCAAGGTCAGGGTCAGAGTCGACACGTGCAATTTTTTTTTGCTTGGAAACTGTCTCGAATTTCGCACTCCGAGGATTCGAAATGAGTATCTCATTGCGGGTTCAAAGGATTCAAAAGTTTGAGGGACGCACCGAGTTGGATCCTATCGATCCTCCCGGCCGGTCGTCTATTTTATCGGACAAGAAGAACCGATGACGGATAAACTACTAGTAATGGCTGGGAAATGTCGATACGCTTTTGTCGGATGCACATGGCAAAGTAACACGAGAACAACTTTCTCAAATTAGGTTCAATTTTGCAGAGTGCGGGCGAAAGACAGAAAACACTAATGCAAAAGAATAATCGTTACATGTGCGGCGCAGCGGGAAAGGTAGCGCGCGTGTTACCAACCTTTTGTTCCACTCGTCGTGAGAAAAAGAGCGCCAGTAGTGTGCTGCTTGGAAAGAAAAGGCCGGCAGCGAGTGAAATTTAAACAGTTTTCCACAGTTCGATGTATACAGTGATGTCTTTCTTTCTGCCGGGCAACTTTGCCCCACGGATTTTCCGCAGGCCACGCTCCGCGCCGCCGCGTGTGTCTCTCACGGTTCTGCGCTGCAAACAGCGCCCCTTTCATCATTTATCTCGACTGAAACAGAAACTAGAACATCGGATAAAAAGACAAATAAAATGATGGTTCGGGTTTGCGTGCGTAGCATAATGCGCGTTTCACACTGTGTACCGAAATCGCCATAATCCGAGCCTGAAGTAACTCCGCACGTGGAGCTCGGTGATCTCCTTTCTTTCCTTTTCTCACGTAAAATATCGTCGTTTTTAGGATTTCTCAGCTTTGACGGAAGGACCAGATCAGAATAAATAACGCCGTTCGACGCCCGGCATAACGCCCGAGTTTAAGCGCGAACCTGTTTGCTCCCCGATACCGGACGCGGAAGGAGTGTATGTTTGGACAGATAGCTTGCCCTACTTCCCTCGAAATTGAGGGGAAGCAGCGGTCCGTCCGTAGGACTCACTATTTCTTTCTCCTATCGCGAAGTTTTATCTCGGTAACTATCGCCGGCGCTCGTCGGATTATCCTTCCGCAAACACGCCCGAGTCGCCTCGTCTCCCTTCTCTGTCTGAGCTAACGTCCAGCGCGCTAACGTTAACGGTTCGAAGCGCAGAACTTCGATGGAGTTTCGAAGTAACGGCGTGTGAAACTTGCTAAAAACGTCTTCAGAAGACAGCAATATTTATGAGTCAGTCGAGAAAAGGTAAAAGCTCTCACGGTTGCTTAATGTGACGGCATTATCTGGCTTTTTGTTGAACTCCATGGCGCTTTCTTAGGGTATGTGACCTTTTCGTTGTTTGTTACCTGTGTAAGTTCATCAGCAGACCCAAACCAAAATCCCGAGACCCGGAATCAAAAAGATATCCCTCATTCATGGTTTGAGGATCGCATCGTATGCTGAAATGAGCCTAAACTGTCACTCGTTTTTATCCAATTCAGGGTCCATTCAGTTTTTCCCGCGTTGTAGGGACAAACAAAAGATGTTATTGATCGTTTTCAGCGTAAAAACTGCTCCGCTATTCGTAGCAAACGTCTCTGATTGGTACGTCTGTTCGGATTATTCTCCAATCATGAACATTTGAATGGTAGCGAAGCAGTTTTCTTTACTGAACGTGACCAATAAAACAGCACGATCCCTATTTTGGCTTGTCATTTTTTTCCTTCTTTTCTTTCCTTTTTTCTTCGGAACCATCGTTGATTCAAATCTGACTTTACGTCATGTTGTGAGAAAAGTCTCTTAGAAAATATTTGTTCAAATCAGGTTCAAATTTTTCTGGAACTCGTAGCGGGGTAAACTCGTTTAACGGGACAGTCGTGCGTGAAAAATTTGTGCTGACTTGCAGTTTGTACATTAGATCCTTTGCGTCCCTGAAATTACCCTTGAAATCTGAGTTGTTTCGAGTAGCTGGCCGATCCGCAGTGCAGTGACCGCATCTCACATTTTGGAGAAACGACATCCCGGACAACCGACGGTATCTTTCATCATATTCAAAAACTGCCGCCGTGTGGAATTTGTCCGACCGGCTCGAAAACATGTGCCGGGTATAATTTTTCCCTCCTTCTTTTTTATTTTTTTTACCTACTTTGCTTTACCGAAACCACTCGAGGACCAAACGTCACTCCGAAGTCCAGCGAAACGCTGCCGCCGCGCGAAATCTGACGGCGACAGCGCGATGTTATCGGCAGGCCCGTGAAATAGGAGAGAAAAACACCGTCGCACAGTCGGCTCGAAAATAATCCGACCGGTTTATTAATTCCGGCGATAATTCGGCCGGAACGAGCGATTTATCAGTGGCGGCAACGACGGTCAGGAATTCGCGCGGTCGGCGCTGATTCATCCGTGAAGGAGTCACGCGTCGGTTCGTTGGCACCGCTTTCGTTGTCGACAGCGACTTTAGCGCCGGTCCCCCGAGGGCGTAACAAAAGAAATCGGAACGGACCCGGCCGAAATACATTCCGGGTGCGTATGCCAAAAAGCGCGGTCTACGTGCGTCATCGCCGGCGTAAACGCGCGCCAAGTCACATGCCGGCGCGGCGGCTCGTGATTCCTCCCGGCGATTCGCGGGTCGGCGCGCGACTACCTCTCTCTCTCTCTCTCTCTCTCTCTCTCCCCCCTCTCTCTGAAACGATTTGAATAATCCGAATATTCAGGCGAGATATTCGAAATAATCCACGGAGAGAAATGTCGACTTGAACGAGAGAGAATTTTCCGGTGGAAGGTGAGCGACAGAGAAATTTCAGTTAAAGTATTCAGTCGAAATTATCCGGATTTCCGGTTGACTTGATTAGAATTCTAGTATTTTCAGTCGGAATTTCTGAATCCTTCACTAGAAGATCGCTTTATTCGACCAAACGTTCTTCCCCGCTTTAAGTTGGCAAGAAACACGGCGGACAGATGCAACTCGTGATTTCTTACCAGGAACGACTCGTCGTCGACCTAGAGAAAAAAACAAATTCAATGGGCGGATTCTGCAAATTTCCTCATGATACAAATGAGTCAATGAAACGTGAAAAATATCGTAGCACCGCACAGTGGGACGAAACATAGGGATGTGCGGACATCGTACTTTGCAGGCAAAATATAGCAATTAGCGGAAAGCTGAATATTGGGATGAAAACATTTGGTCAAACGGGACGATTGCTCATAAACAAAAAATTAACTTTCCTAATGTTTGAAAAATTATTGTTTAAATTCGTTGAAAAATGCGAGATACAAGGGAACTGATAGCGTCATTCGATTCTACGGAAGAAACTACATAGAATCCATGTGCTGGACAATTTTTTCTCAACCCTATTTATTAATAAAATAAAAAATGTTTCGATGGTTCTTCTAACGCCGCACACAGTGGATCGAAACTTCAAATTCTGTGGACATCAACTAAAATTCTGTTCGGAAACAAAGTTTTGTGCAGGAATAAGTTTTAATGAAATTAATTTTCATAAAATATTTTATTTATAATATTTTTGTATACCATTTTGATAATAATAGTATTGTAACGAATATATATAAAGATATAGTGTTCCTATTCGGTTTCAACAGCTACGTGAAGGTAAGGAACAAGCTAGCCTTGGACAAGTTATATCAAATCTTCTTGCATAAATTCAATTAATAAAATATTTGTTATATATTTTTGGAAATTTTAAGATTAAACAATCTGTATGAAAGCACAAGAGAAAAATGCTGGACTAGTGGATTTTGTGAAACAAAATTCGTGAAAACAGTCAAGAATAACAATACAGCACAGAGGTTCTTCGCAAATCCTTTGATTACGTGTGTATGAATAGAACTGGATTAAACGAAAGGACTATTGGAAATTTTGCGATTCTTTTTTAATCCGTTGCAACAGATTGAAAATAATTTATGTCTTGTTCTTTATCTATGTGATGCTGACTTGAAACCAAACTTGAACCAAACAGGAATATTTAAAATTCAATAAAAATAAAGTTGTTATAAAAATATTATGGACATATAAACAGAAATTTTACTGAAATTTTCATTACAAATGATTTCTGGACGAAATTCTGCCTCCGAATCGAATTTTCATTCATGTACAATTGTACATAATAAGTTAGATGTTTTCTATCCACTATACGATGTATAGGAGAAAAGATCGCATGAGATTGCAGCTGAAACCTATACGTTTTTTACTATATGTCTTTTACTATATGAATGATTTTTTAAAATCCTATTTAGTAGATCTTGGACAAATATGGACATTTTTTTTAATTATTCAATAAACATGTGTAAGTTGAGTTACGATTTCGTTCTAATTCATCATAGAGGAAAATGCGTAAAATCTGGCAACGGATATGATAAAAATGTTCTTGAAGAACCATAGAATTGCGTACCATAAGATAGACAAGGATCGATAATTACTTATATAAAATACAGCGAATACAAATGGACGACTTGTGCTTAACACATTTTACTTATCACAGAAACTCGAGACTTTAGACGCTTACAGTATCTATATTACTCATTACTTTCTATTTCCTGCATTCGGATCATATATTAGAACCATTTTACAATACATTCTAGTAGATGAAGTTGTGAAATTCGAACTTTTATTTTTGGCTCGATGTCCACCTTTTTCACCGTTTCGATGCACTGTGCGCCGTAGTCGCTGTTTTCATCTCCGTGGCGAGCGACGTGTTGAAGAGCCAAGCGGAGAAACTACGCGTCCGTTCGGCCCGCGGAAACATGCCGGTTATTAATTACCGGTTCTTATCAGTACCTTATCGGCCAGGCCGAGCAATGAACACTTACAAATAAGTCTTCCGCAGCACCTGTCAGACCTGTCGTACATGAGAAACGCGGTGTCATCGGCGACCAGACGTGACGGATCGTGAGCGCGTAAGATGATGAAATCGCCTGTCCTGACGCATCGCGTCGTTATTTTAGAGAACGTCTGTTTGCGACCGTGGGCGTTCGAGCGCATCCCGAATAAGATGATTCGCGGCTTGGACAACGCGCTAATTTACACGTCCACGAAGGAGGCATGTCTCGCGGCCTGCTTGAACGAGCACCGTTTCACCTGCCGCTCCGTGGAGTACAATTACGTGACGCTGCAGTGTCATCTGGGCGACTCGGATCGCCGGACGACCGGGCAGTACATCCAGTTCGTGGACGCGCAGGGGGTGGACTACTTCGAGAATTTATGCCTGAAAGGTAAAAGCGGAAGGAGGAGGTGGAGGAGGAAAGGTCGCGGAATCGCCTTCGCGGAGGCGACCTCGTACGCGAAGGACGCGTGAGTTAATCGACCGCGCGAATCTCCCACGCAGGTAAGGAGGCCTGCAAGTCTCAAAGGATCTTCCAGATGCCCAGAATCGGCGTGGCGGACGACAAGGTGGCGCAGTACGCTGGTCTGCACTATTACACCGACAAGGAACTGCAGGTCCAAAGCGAGTCCGCCTGCCGGCTGGCCTGCGAGATCGAGAACGAGTTCCTCTGCAGGTCCTTCCTCTACCGCGGCGCTCCTCAGGGCTCGGCCTACAACTGCCACCTGTTCCATCTGGATCACTGGACCCTGCCGGACGGGCCGTCGACGTATCTGAACGCCGAGAGGCCGCTGATCGACAACGGGGAACGCGTCGGGACTTACTTCGAGAATTTCTGCGAGAGTAAGCGAACTCGAGCACCCGAAGCGGCCGAAGCGGCCGGATGAAGGCGAGTCTAGGCGATTCTACGTTCGTCTTGCTTTCAGAGGGTACCGGCCCGGTGGCGGATCCATTACCCATCGTCTTCGAGACCACCGAAGACCCCACGATCAACAACCTCACCAGAAACGACATCAACTGCGACAAGACCGGGACTTGCTACGATGGTATGCGAGCAACTTCCGTTCCGTCGGTGTAACTGAATTTGCTGTCTAAAGTTGCCTGGAAAGGATAAAGGATCCAGCCGCGAAAACTCGATTGTAGAAACTGAAAGACTCTTCCTGTCCCCCTATCCAGCCAATTGTTTTCAGTTTCGCCCGCCGGATCTCGATAGAGCCGAATATTCAGATAAACATCTTTGGTCGCGATAACAGAAGTGCCGTTTCTCATCGAGTTCTCGGCTGGTCTTCGTTCAGTTACGCCCGGATTGTTCTCCCTGTAGGATAATTTTGCTAAACGAACGATCGCTGCTTCCAGTGTCGGTCGACTGCAAAGACACTCGAATCGCCGTTCAGGTTCGCACCAATAAGCCGTTCAACGGGCGCATCTACGCCCTCGGACGGTCTGAAACGTGCAATATCGACGTTATCAATAGCGACCTGTTCAGGCTGGATCTCACGATGAGCGGGCAAGACTGTAACACTCAGAGTGTGGTAAGTAACAGCAGTGTGGCATGCTTTTTTTATTCTCACAAGATTTAAAGTAGAGCACGCAAGTGATACACGTATATGTATGCTTAACCGTCGTCGAGCTCGAGAATCAGCGTTGCCGTTGAATCGCTGACGCCTTATCGATGCGTCCGATATAGGGTTGCCAACTGTCCAGTTTTGACCCGGACTGTCAGGTTTTCAGAAGTCTTGTCCAGTGTCCGATTAATAAGTCAAACCGGACGTCATATGTCCGGTCTTTAAGTTATATCCAATCAATGGAATAAGAGTTCAGATTTTAGCAATGTTTCTCCGTTTCAAGCGCCTGCAAACGACCGAACGCCACGGAAAGCCATCTAGTGGATGATCTGCCGATCCATCATTCCATATATATTAAAAAAGTAATAGTTTATTATTTTATTCAATCAAATCTTGTTTATAAAATTGTTTGGAAATTAATACTGTAAGTAAATTCATATCATATTTTGTATTTAATGTAACGTTATGATTTCTGTCCGGTTTAGTCCGATTTGGGTTTGTTACCAAAGAAGAAATGTCCGGTAATTTTAACTTTTGGATTTGGCAATCCTAATCCGATATCGTCTCTCCTGATCGTCGCTTGACTCACCGCGCGAAAATTTGACTGTCGATGATCGGTATCGTGTTCGCGCGAGAAATAGCGGCCGCGCGCGACTTGAAGAAGAAGAGAGAAACCGCGTGGAGAAAGATATAAGGTTTCCATTGTCTTTCCCGAAGGTCGACAAAGAGCTCACGACAGACATGAGCACACCTCTGTCTCTCTCTTTCTCTCTCTCTCTCTCTCTCTGAGTACTTAATCCCTGTTCAAACTTTCTTTTCACCATGGCAGCGTGACGGTTTTCAGACTGGCATCTACTCGAACACGGTCGTACTGCAACACCACTCCGTGGTAATGACAAAGGCCGACAAAATCTACAAAGTTAAGTGCACGTATGACATGTCGTCGAAGAATATCACCTTCGGCATGATGCCGATCAGAGACCCGGAAATGATCAGCATCACGAGCGCGCCGGAGGCGCCGCCGCCGAGGATCCGCATCCTCGACAGCCGGTCGCGCGAGGTCGAGACCGTGCGCATCGGCGACAAATTGACCTTCAGAATCGAAATCCCAGAGGACAGTAAGTTCGTTTCTTGGAAACTCGTCTTTCTTAACCCTCCTGAGTAACCACGAAGGGAACCTAAGCCGCTCGATAATACGAGAGGCTGGCGTGCAAAATTTCGAAATCTCGCAAATCGCCGATTCACCCTTCGCCGGTTCTTCCTCTAATCTCTCTTCAGGTTCGAGAGATTACGCGCGCGGCGTGAGACGCGCGGCTGATTCAAAGATTTGTCCTCAACTCGGGAGGCTCACTCGGATGAATCACTCGCGAATAGACTCGCGAAGCTCAGAATCGCGCGCAGGCGAAATTGCCGCGTTCTCTTCGCGTGTCACACTCGGAAGATTGTTTCACAGCGCAAAGAAATGCCAGATACGGGCTGGTTAACGGGAGGGTTAACGAAGCTTCGAGAAGCGACGTTTCGCTAGTCTTTGACAGCAATTCGCAAACAAGTGACATTAACATCTTCTGTATGTAGCCCCATACGGCATTTTCGCTCGCAGTTGCGTAGCCATGGCAAAAGACTCGAAAAGCACGTTCCAGATCATCGACGACGAAGGGTCAGTGTTGCATTTCATCTCGGCGCTCTTCTTCGATCCGGCATACGAAGTATGGAATTAACGCGCGTTGTACTTGCAGGTGCCCCGTCGATCCCTCTATCTTCCCCAGTTTCACGCCCGACGGTAACGCCCTGCAGTCCGTGTACGAGGCTTTCAGGTTCACCGAATCTTACGGCGTGATCTTCCAGTGTAACGTCAAGTACTGTCTAGGACCGTGCGAGCCGGTAATTATCCGACGAAAATCTCGCTCGTAATTCACGGTCACATATGTGAGTGATCGTAGAAAAAAAGGTGGCTCTTTTTCCAACAACCCGTCTCCCTCGCCCGTTGCAGGCCGTTTGCGAATGGGGCCGCGAATCCGTGGAGTCGTGGGGCAAGAGGCGCAGGAGAAGCCTCGCGAACTCGACGGAGGAGAAGGCCGAGGACATGACTCTGTCGCAAGAGATCCTGGTGCTGGACTTTGGCGATGAGAAGCAGTCGGACTTTCTGAAGAGCGACGCCAGCATAGACTTTAACGAAGCAGGTAAATAGGCAAGCGGATATACCGTGCCGTGCGACACGGGAGGAAAGAATTCTTTGTTTGAAAGAGAGGAGAAGGAAGAGGGAGGGGGCAGGAGAAAAAGAAAAAAAACAAGTCGCCGGCGAAGTCGTGTCGATGACAAAGTAAGCACGCAACTTATTTCCAGACAAAACAGTGACCATCGTGGAGCCGTGCCCGACGAAGACCTCGGTGCTGGCGCTCGGGGTGACGTGCGCTCTGCTGGTGCTCATCTACATCTCCACGATCTTCTGTTACTACATGAAGAAGTGGCTGACGCCCCGCAAGATGATGCCTTAAAGGGCGAGGAAACGTGTTCGCCCCGCGGAACGCGTGGATCGCGAAAGCAAATAAGGAAGACGACAGCCAAGAGTACGAGAGTTCACGCATACACGCACACACACACACACACGCGCGCGCACGTACACGCATCCCCATTCGCGATACACCCAGCCACATTCATACATGATGAGCGATCGAGAGATTCACGCGTAGCGATAATCATTCGCTCTCTCATCCCACTATTGTACGTTCATTCTCATTATACCACCACCGGCTCGAAACGGCTCTCAAGAGAGCGGGCGGTAGAAAGAATCGCCGCTTCGAGGCGACGGACAATCGTACCATTGTAACGTGCGATTGAATCGCCCGCCCAATGCGATCGGTATTCCGCGTGGCGTGCTACATCGACGACGATCGCAGACGGGATCGATTGTGTAATGTCCCGAGAGCGCGCGAGTGCCGGCTCTACATCGGTAACACCGACGTGCACGCTTTCTCAGAGCAGGTACGCGCTCAGACTCGTTGGTATAGGTCGACGCTTCCGACGGAGTCATTCGGGAGAGATTAATAATAGATCGTCTCGAAAATAAGTTTACGCGCGCGCACACATAGACGCACGTACTCATGCACGCATACGTACACGCGCACACACACACACACACACACACATACGCGCGCACACGCAGCATATCATACACACGGAAGACTGCCGACTGACGTGATGAAGATCACAAGGATCTCTTGTACCATATGTTGAAAGTAAACAGCGAGACGGATATACGCGCGCGCACGCACACATATATACACGCATGCAACCGAGGTCTACGACGGTAGCGGCGACGACTCGACTCGTCTCGGATTGATTTTTAACCCGGGGGGCGACTCACCAACGGATATCCTGACTCTTAAGGTGGCGGATATTAATATCGATCGCGAAGGAGGCTCCGATGAGGAACACAGCTCGAGTCGTGCAACGACGATGACACATCTCGCGGCGGGACGCTAATAAAATATTACGTGCGCAGTCACTCCTTGGCTGCTCAGCACGCTCAACAGCGTGAGTTCTTGGCGCGCGCGAGATATTGTCAAAATAGCGACCATAACTGATCCGTGTTGACGTACACACGGTTTGTTTTCACGCGCGCGGAGGAAGAGCGTTTGTTGCTTGCCGCGCGTCGGCGCGTCCGATCTCGAGGGTGGTTTATCGCAACAAAGTTGCCGAGCGACTCTTCTTCGCACGTGACACGCACACACGCGCATACATACATACATCACTCACATGAACATACACGTACGCATACACACACACACGTAGACGCATACGGGATATGAATCGCGGAGCTCACTCTCGCGACCAAGACCACCTTGAATGCAACGAGGGTAGACTTTATTTAAGAATATTCTTAGATAACAGCTAACTGTCTCATCCTCTTAGCGGCTACTTCTGATCGGGTTGCAAAAGGAGCAAGATCGAGCGCACGAATTGATTTGTCGTGCCGCTCGAGGCGAGATTTCCGGTAGCACGTAAACGGTCGACGCGATTTTCTGGTTGCTGTTTTCGGTCCTCGGAGATCGATTTGTAACCCGCATCAAGACTAGCGGTATTTAAAGGTTCACGCTTCACTAACGTCTCTAACGATACAAGTAGCGTTTAAGATAGCGATTAAGCATGTAAGCATAGTCGTGAGACGGGGAGGAAGATCGAGACAGCGGAGAGGAGGGAAAACAGAGAAGGAATGAGGAGAGAGAGAGAGAGAGAGAGAGAGGACACTCTCTTCTACTTCGGCGGATTCTCGAGGCGGCTCGCATTTTTCTAGATCAATAAATCCGTAGTAAAGAAAAAAAAAAAAGAGGAAGAAACCCTCTCACATATGCCGTGCGCGAGTTTCGCCAAACGCGCTTACGGTATCGATCGATAATATAGCTGGTTATTTAACGGTGTCGGAATTAGTCGAATAGCGACTACAGTAGTGGTCGGGTAAGAGAAAAAGAAAAAAGGAAAGATGAATGGAGGAAGAGAGAGAGAGAGAGAGAGAGAGGGGGGGGAGAGGGTAAGTACCCAACTTAAAAACTAATCGAGATATTGATCTCTTGGGAGTAGCCGCCGAAGAAACTGTCGTTTCGGCATTTTATCTAAGATACCTCCGCTCGTGAAATTTCCGAGCGAATGGCAGGAACACCCGAGCGCTCGGCTCTCTACCTGACTGTAGATCGCTTCCCGCGCGTTTATACCTGAAGCTCGAGGTGCTCTCGATGCGGGATTTTACATAGCCGTACGGAAGTATTAAGGTGTACTCGAGGTATACTATACGACGTAGTGCGACGGCGACGCGTATGCGGCCGGATATCGATATAATCCCCTAAGGGCAATCATATTTTCTCAGTTTATCAGCTCCACTCAATTAATGAATACTCGCGACGAATGCGCTCCGCCGAACACTCTCGCCTCGGCTCTCGAGGTCGGTAGCGCGATAACGAACGAACGATACGCGGCTTTCCATATCGGGTCCTTCATTCATTATATTCTTGGAACACACTTCACTTCTGTCGAATCGCCGAGTGATGCTTGGTAAATTAGGACATTCGGCGAAAATGGCCTGGAGGGGTGTTCGACGGGGGAAGATTCGTGTCGCACCAGTAGACATTATCGTATCCGCTTCGACTTGTTCACGACTTATTATTAAGCGATTCATAGGCGATAAAATGCGCATGTATGTACTCCGTTCCTCCGGGGACATTACGACGACGTGTTAATTCGCGCTGGCGATGAGCGACTCCTCTCGCGATAGAGACGTTACGTAACGATCCATAAACAGCATGAATTGGGTGGAGTAAATTAAAATTTCCGGTTAAGGTGCTTGCTACATGCGGGGGTCAGACTCTCGGAATTGAATATTCCTCGGACGGCAGCGCGGCCGACACACGTAGAAGAAATGGGATCGCACGAGGAGGAAGCGGTCGACACAGCCTCATCGCGAGGTCCGTTGAGGCGAGCGGAAAATTATTCCCGCAAATTCGACGCTTCTGTCGATGAGAGAGATGGTCGGCTGATAAGAGGGAAGAAGACGTTGTGACGTGCGCGCTACGTTCGTAAAATTGATTCGTAAGCGAAACGCGTGACCCCTCGCGGTTTACGAAACCGTCTACAAAATGTATATATTATTAAGACGGATTGCAGTAGAGACACTGAGAGAAGAACACACACATACGTATCAACATGCATCAATCACATATATTTGTACCCTATTTATATACGTGAATGTTTCAGTAATTAAACTCTGATGAATTTTGACAGAATCGTTTTCCCTTCCTTCGCAGCGGAAGCGGCGTCAGAGGCTCGTTCGACGATCCCGAATAGCCGAGAGGATTTACGATATATACGCACATACACGCACACGCAATAAATAAAATATAAAACAAGATACATCGCGTGTCCAGCGCGTGTAAAAAGAAATTGACTGGGATCGGTAAGACGCCATTTGCCTCGAAACCGTCCTAAAGAGCGTGTTTGCTTTCAGTCACTTTCATTGATGAATCCGTGGATTCAGTCCATGAATCAACGTTTCAGAGGCGATCTCGATCGCTCGGCCGAGTAACCGTGGATATTTTACAGCTCCTCCCGTGTAAATAAATCATCGGTCCGCTTGGTCGAGCGCCAGCGAGCGAACCATCGCGTCGAACTCGTGACTAATCGATTTGTATATAGAAACACGTATTAACGCTGCGCATATGTTTATTATTGCGACGAGTAATCGTAGCCGGATATCATTCGATTGCACTTAAAGATAGAGCACAAACATCGCGGATGCGCTGGAAAATAACCAGGAATAGCGTCTCACCAAATACCAGGCGTTACCTCAGGCTCGACAGCGCATCGCGAGTTTCGGCCAAACGCGAAGAAGAAGACGCGACCGACGTTTCCCGTTTGAAATCACCGCACCCTGTCCACCGCGCTGACGTCGGTAAGGCCACCCGCGGATAAAACAGCGCTTTATCGAGCGTCTCTCGCCTTTTTTATAGGCTCGGCCGATAAAGCGAATCATAGGGTGCGGGATATGCACGACGTGCCGCGCCGGCGCGGCTCGTCCGCAGTCGAAAGTTGCGCGGGGTGACGTAGTTCCGACTCCCCGTGGAATTCTCCTTTCTCTCGCGGAAGAACGGCGGAGCTCTTTCGAGCGAGAAAGAAAGAGAGAGAGAGAGAGAGAGAGAGAGAGATGGGGTGAGAAGGCGAGTGAGAAAAAGAGAGCATCGGCCACCGCACACGTCGCGTCGAGCCGTCGCTGAGTCTTCGTGCCGAAGGCACACACCGTCCCAAGCAGTCCAACCTCGATACGCCTTCGCCAATGATAAGATAAAGGTTAGCGTTTACGCGTATGCATGCGTGTGTCTGCGTGCGTAAGTGAATGAGAGAGAGAGAGAGAGAGAGAGAGACAGAGACAGAGAGAAACTCGCCCGTAGGCGTTGCGCCGTTCTTCTCGTGGATGTGTGCGCATCGTATCATCGGCGCGATACACACACGTCTCTCGCGATAACACTTTTTCCTTCTCTTTCTCTCTCTCTCTCTCTTTCTCTCCTCGTCCGCTGCTTCGACTTCTTCCGCGGTCGACCGTCCGTCTGTCCTTTCGTTCATCGTTTGCGGCAGCGACGGCTACCGGCTGTATCGGGCGATAACACCGAGCGACGCAGAAGCCGCGAACGCAATCCCTCGTGACGCACGGCCGGTGGAATCTCGGTGAAACGAGACTTTCGTGAACCGCGCAATCACAAGCGCGGCAGCCTCGGCCCGCGCGAGGTTAGGTTCGCGGGGGCTACCCCTCGCGGGGTCGGGGCTGGTGCGCGCGAGTAGGCGCCATCGTGCGACCGCCCACGGAAAAAGGCGCATTACCTGCTCGCGTACGTACGTGGGCAAACGAGCGGCCAACCGGCCGAACGCTGCGCGACGTTTAACCTATACGTGACGCGTATAATCGGACACGGAGACTTTTAATGGCTCGATTGGTAAGAGGTGAGATGAAATTGCCGTCGCGCTTGATCGGATACGTTCCGTCGGATCGGATCACCGAGACGCGGACGTCGAGTCGTTCTCGCTCGCGACGGAGAGAAGAAGGAAGGCGTGCTTTCGTATCGCGCGCGCTTTATCATTATCGGGAACATAACGCGTGCTATAAAAAGCGCCGCTCGTGAGTTATGTCGATCTTTTTTAGCCGCTGCTTTCTCGGATGTGGCGTACGGAGTTATCGAATATCAGGCGCTACTGTAACGCGTTACTTCCCCACCAGCGACGTCGCGTCTCTGGGAAGGAAACAGCAGCGCGGATGTTTCACGGAATGCCCACGGTTTCGGCCGGTCGCCTCTCCATCCGGAGCTGATATTCTCTTTGTGATAAATGTTCGACTTGGATCGAACGCTCGTGTTTATGGGCGCTTGAGAATCAAGTCACAGAATGTCGACACCTGGTCGCAGTTGGACAGCCCAACGGAAGTTGTCGCGTGCCAAATTTTATTTGCGGGAAGATAATGTCTGCGACATGTAACGCGAAAGCGCGCCAAGATCTGACCGCGGTCCAAACGTGCATTTGCGTTGTCGGATCCGCGTTATCCGGCGGCGAATGAAATTCGACACAAATAACCCGCGTCGAGGTCGACTAGACGCCTCGGGTCGACGAAGGCGCCTGGATCGATTTCAAAGATCACAAATCTGAATCGACTCGTGACATTTTCCACGGGGGAATCGCGCTCGATTTGCCGACGAATCAAGCGTCGACATTAACGGAAAGGACGTACACGTCAAGTTGCTTTCTCTCCGCTCGAGCGAATTATCGAGCGAATTCCGTCCGAAGGAACCAAGACGCACCACCGATGGCGGGAGATCGATTCGTCCCTGCTTATGATCGGACTTGACGCTACGTACACGCACGTACGCACGCACACACGACGCATAATATGCGCGACATGCACGCACGCCTGCATTAAGACGCAAGTGTGCGCTTGTGGTGCACGTGTAGCGCTCTCCCAGTTAGCATGCACATAAATAAGCCTCGCTTATAAACTCTAGAGACTGCGATTTCAACGAGTGGCGCTCTTTACTCCGGGCGAGAGATAAGTGCGCGCGCGATACAACACGCTTGTTTCCCCGATGACCATGACGCACTTATCGCGCGTTCATTCGCGCAACGTGTCATAGTTCACGAATTCTTTCCGCAAGCAATAAGTCTCGTTATCGAGCGGTATCAGCGCGCGCGTAGCTCTCACTTTGAGGAATATACGCGCCGCCGTGCCGATTCGCAATGGCGAGACGCAATGGCAACGTCCATCAAGCCTGGGCTATAAATACGGGTCACAATACACGGAAATTGTGCCCTACGTCTCCTCTGGCGGAGGCGCGACAGTGTGCCAAATATCAATCGCTAAATTAGAAACGCAGCTTGTCTACTTTACGGCCCATATTACATACACACATATATATATATATAGCCGTAGCGGAATAGCACGGACAGCTGTAGGATTGTGAAACGAGGATTGTTAACAACGTGCGTTTACACGTAAAGTTCGACGCCGGAGAGTAATAGAAACTCAACGGCCGAAGCAACTTCTGGCAGGCGTGATCGGCAGGCGCGAAACGTGCGTGACAAAATAATGCGAATTTTTGAACGATCGCCAACCTGACGAAAACTTGGAAGAACTCTGGGATCGGATTCAATTCTTCGCCCCCACGAGGTGAGGACGAGGCGAGGCGAGGCGAGGCGAGGTGAGGTTGTTCGCGCAGGCGACCGCTTGTCTCGCCTTTGCCAAGATGCCTCCGGACCCTTCCCTCGCGCACGAGCCAGACGAGAAGGCCCGAGAAGAGCCGTCTAATACACTTTTTGCCGCGAATCACCGACCCTCGTGTGCCCTTTCTTGTGCCTCGCACAAGCCGAGCTCGCTGCTAAATTCGTGTATTTCAACATGCGCCACGGCTTAAGGGCCGCGAGCGCACCGGATCGAAAGTGCAAGGTGTCGCAAGTCGAGAGACATCGTTAAATAGAGACAGTCGCCTCTTTTTCTCCTCGTTGCTCCTCCTCGCTCCTGTGTAGAGCCTCTCTTCCGCCGGCCATGCTTGTGCATAAGTACGTGGAAGGAAAGAGAGTGCGGAAAGCGACGGCTACAACGGCCGTGCGAGCGAGCGCGAGGAAGGACGAGAGAGACAGAGAAAGAGAATGGTCGACGTACATCATTTGGGCGCCGAGAAGTCTGGCGCGACCAGGCCAGGCCAGAGGCGCGTCTCTGGTTACGCGACTATTTGGAGCGCCAAGCTCGTAGCCGCGCCGGTGCGGCGGGTGAGCGGGGAACGCCGAGAGAAGGACGGCGGCGAAGCAGAGAGTGAGAAGCAGAGAGAGAGAGAGAGAGAGAGAGAGAGAGAGAGAAGTGTAGGTAGGTAGATAGAGGTAGGTAGGCGTCCAAGCGACGTCCACCATACCGAAGAGAGGCTCACAGGGCTACGGCACGCGAGAGGGGAAGAGAGGGAGGTCGCCGAAGGGGCCTCCGCAGGCCACATTCCAGGAGGACGCGAGTTTTCAAACATGCCCAGCCTGCGTGAATGTAGGTCCACGACCGATCCTATAACGCACGCACACAACGACAGCTCGTAGGAGCTGCATTCGTCGTCCCGCGTCTCGCGCCACTTCTCTTCATCCCAATGCTCGAGCGCTTCCCCCCATGGCGTGTCCCTTCCCCCCTAGAGCGCTGCTGCTGCCGCTGCTGCTGCTGCTGCTGCTGCTCCTCTATCGCGTACACGCGTACACACGTACACGTGAACCCACAGCTCTCCCTTCCCCTGCCCCTTCTCCGCCATGCGTTCCCTTTCCTCGTCCCCCGCGCTAACCCGGACGACCAGGCCGACCGAGCTGGCGACACCCTGTCTGGCAAGACCGGCCGGCGGACAAAAGAGGGGGAGCCAGCCCGCGCTGCGTTGCCACGTCCTCGGTCTTCGTGCTGCGCCTACCTTCGGCCCCAAGGACAAATCCGACGAGCCGTGCCAGCCGCACTAGGCGACTGCCGGTCTGCCGCTACCTCGATGCTTTTCCTCGCGACGCCCGCCGCCTGATATTATTCTCGATAGAACTCTCGACACTTCCTCCTTAAAGCGACGAGCGATAGAAGACGTGGACGTGAATAACGGAAAGAGACGAGACGAAGCGACAGACGTCAGCAAGCGATGCATTTCTTTCGCGCTTCCTTTCGCGTGAAGCGAATGAAAAAAAAACAAAAAAATGTTGAATGAAATAATGACGTCACGTTGATACGTCGACGGCTGATACACGGCAAGTGACGCCTCATCGGCGATCGCTCCCAAGTGAGAGAAATTTGGAGAAAGATTCCTTCTCCTCCCGAGGTGTAGGTTCATGGAATGCCTAAGCGATGACTCGTGCCCATATCCCTATGCGAAGGCCGATCTGCGGCGAGGTGGCAGGTGCCTTCTTTCCGTGATTGCTGTACAGCGGACGCGCTCAAAAGGGGCTTCGCAGTGATCGGCGTGAGCAAGAATAGCCGTCGTGATTCTTGGAAATAGAGTAGGGTGCCTCTTCAAAGAAGCGCGAGAGAATCCTCGTCGGCATCCTTGGTTTCTGCCGGTGGCGCGAATCGTGGAAATTTACGAGACCTCGTCCGTTTCTTTTTATCGGTCTATCTTGCTCGCGCGCTCGTTCATCGAAGTATATGCGAGCGTGCGGCGGCTTGCGTCATTGCCTCGCGGGTCTCTCTCTCTCTCTCTCTCTCTCCGCGCGTTCGTATGCGTTCATTGCGGCCTACGTGCGGCTAAGAAGAGACATGGCAACGGCGCGTGAAGCTAAACATATTAACTGTCGGCTCACGCCACAAAAACAACATGATCTCATTCCACGGCGCATATGCAAGAGGCTAGCGTATACCTCAAAATCTCATTCAAAAGCGATTCCAGCGGCACGAGAGAGGCAAAAAGAGACGACTAGAAGACGGGAGATCCTGTTCCGAGAAAGGCAACACCCGTATCAAAGAGCGAAGATACTCGAATTATACATACGTATAGAGGAAGAGATTTTGCTGCAAAAAATGACGTTACAGGAAAAAAAATACCCAATACGAGAGATTCGTCGTTGGTACCGAGTGGGAACAACAACACTCTCTCTTTGCACCGAGCGGTAGAACGATGATACGATTTCAGTCCCAGCGAACCTGCCTGCCAGTGATTGTAAGCTAACACGGTCACCAGCGTTTTTCCTGGAAAATCCCTTCACCCACCACCAGCTGCCTTCTCTCTGTCTGTAAAATTCTCTCTTATAACTGGCCGGTCTGACGTAGGCCTTTGATGTACATACCGCTGCGGCGTCCGTATCTCGTACGACGAACGTCCACGACCTAATCTAAATGATATGCCTGGCCGTTCGACGAAACGAGTCTCGTAATTGATTATAATCCGTTGCGATTTCCATCGATAATGCCTTCGTCTCTGAAACGTGTACGTTACGCTCGCGGTAAGGATAACCGTGTAACGGATTGTAGAAAAGCTCGGGATATTACATTCCGTGCGTATTCAGCCTCGTGCGTCGAGAAGCTGAACGGAGGCACAATCGGCTCTTGAGGAGAAAGGCGAGCAAAAATCGAGGCTCCAAGCTGGCTGCCGCAGCGAGCAGCTAAGCGACCGCGGCAGGCAGGCAGGCAGGCAGGCAGGCAGGCGTCAGACGTGCACGGCAGACAACATGGCGCCGAGAGCGCCGTCGTCATGCCGGCGTGACGTTTCCCGCGCGTCATTAACGGAAGTGAGCCCAGAAAATGGCGGAGTTTTATGGCGCTGAGGTGTGAAAGGGAAGAAAGAGGATGGCGTGGAGGGGGACGGCGGGGCGCCTACGTCCCGTGGACGGTGAAGCAGGCGAGCGAGGTAAGATGACGGGAGAGATTAGTCGAGAGGTTAGGTTAGGTTGCTAACGCAAAGAAAGAAGAATAACTGGTAGCCGCCTTCGGCGGTGGACTAGCGTCCGTACTGTACGAATGAGGCAACGGGGTATTGAGGGGGCGGCCAATGGAAGGAAAAGGAGGAGACGACAAAAGAGACACGTTGGACGGAGAGAGCGTTAAACGAAGCGAGTGGGGATACGTGGAAGAGAGGTCGAGAGAGTGCGAATAGAGAGCCCGAGCGAGTGAGAAAGCGCTCGACGACGGTAGAGGGGAAAACTGTTCTCAGTGGGAAGCGGTCGCAGTTCTCGCGCCGATGTGGTGGGGATGGAAATTAGTTGCGGCATCAACCAAGACCTAAAAGGAACTCCGGCGCCGCACGGCGAAGTCACTTCGTGCAATGTTACGCGTCAAGGTATACTCGTGCCTCGTTCTCAGTGCCGGTTTCGAAGCTCAAAGTGGTCGCGGTCGTCTCTGTCGTCACTGTTACACGCGGACCCACTCGTCGTTCTTGCGGCCGATCCGACTCGGTCGTCGTCAAGCGAGTTAAATGTGTAATGTGTTAAACGAAGACACTATGACCTGCGACTATGGTGTGAGTAAGGTGCTCAGCAAAGATAGTTCGGTGCAAATAATGCATTCGAAGCAACAGCAGTCGGTGCATCGGCAGCAACGGCAGCAGAAAGTAGGCGTCATGGGCAGCAGGCGTATTTTTCCGCCGTCCTTTAAGCTCAAGGTCCTGCACTCGTACAGGAATGACATGGACTGTCGCGGCAATCAACGTGCCACCGCGAGGAAATACGGGATACACCGTCGACAGATCCAAAAGTGGTTGCAGTGCGAGGAAAATCTGAAAAATTGTGCCGAAAATGGCAACGCCAGGCCGGCCTCGACGTCGACGACAGACTCATCCGCGAGTGCCACCAAATCGGACAGTGCGACGGTGACAGAAGTCGCGGGCCCTGCGGGACCTGCTGCAATCCTAGCGGCGCCGGCCTTGAACCTTAACGTTGCCAGACTGCATGGCGACGAGCTGACTACACAGCAGAGGTCCCCACCTCCCGCTTCTCCTCCGCATCTTCCGCGTTGTGGTGCATCCTCACCGGCCCGTATTCGGACTGTTTCTAAAAGTATGCTCTTGCAAAACGTCGTGCCTGTGGAATATTCGCAATATTCGTCGTCGTCGTCGTCGTCGTCGTCGGCGACGACGACGACGACGGCGGCGGACCGGAAACATCTCCATCGGGAAACGGAGAACGCGATGCAAGAGATCCACTACGTCGAGACTAAAATGGATCAGGACCGTCATTTTTACGGGGGGGATGGACCGACCAGAGATTTGGAGACAACCTCGCACAGCGTCAATGACAAAAAGGAGACGGTGGTGCATGAGGGCATTAGGAGTTACTATTGGTCACCTGCAGAACACCAATATACTTCGAGCAATATCGACACCAGTGCGCACCTGCAGCATCATCACCACCAGCAAAATCATCATTCGCCGAATCATCGTCCGCAGAGTTACGGAAACTTGTTCAACGGACAGTACAGTCTGATAGGAGCGGCGTTGATAAAGACCGAGCCATCTAGCCCAGACTCCACGGCGACGTCAGGGCCGTACGAGCCGACCGGCTCGCCCGGCGGCCAATGGGCCCCACAGTCGCCCACGGTACCGCATCAAGTCGCCAACAACAGCGGCAGCGGCTCCTCGTTGTCCGCTCACTACTTCGCGGCGGGCCCCTCGTTCTTGGAGAACGCGCACGTGCACGAGCATGGGCACGCACACGCGCGCACGCTGCTGGTTTCCAGTACGCCGTACTCGCCGCGCCTGCATCAGCAGGAGAGAGAGTCGGAGGAGACGACGGGCTACGCCAAAGAGGTGGGAGAGCAGAAGGAGAGGACGGAATATTGCGGGACGGTGATTAAGGAAGAGGTGGACCTGCCCGAAGATGAGGTATACGACGAAAGGCAGGAAAATAATGCGTCCCCGTTCATCGACGTGACCGGCGACCTGACGATAGACAGCTTAGACTCGGAAAGCGCTCCCGTCGAAATCGAGACGGACGATTGCCGTACGCCGAGTCCGCGCGACCCCGCCAATTCCGACAGGTCCAGCAGCAGCTCGTCCGATGATGGCAGCATCTCGAGCGAGATAGGCTCCCTCGATAGCGCTCCAGGTAATCAGAATTCATCCGCCAATCTCACCCGCAGACAGCAGCTTCGGCGGTCTTTCTCGTTGAACTTCAAGATCAACGTGCTCGACGCCTTTCACAAGGACGTGAAGGTAGCCGGGAACCAACGAGCCACCGCTAGGAAATTCGACATAAACCGTCGTCAGGTGCAAAAGTGGCTGCTGAAGGAAGTGGATCTCAGGGGTGAGATCGCACTTCGAGGGGACTCGGGCCAACAAGAGCCTGCTGCCCAGGAAGTGTTCGTCGAGTCGCCGATAGACCTGAGGATGATCCACGTCTCTTCAGACTACAGTCGTCCGTCGTCCGACACAGGTCTCGAGGTAGATTACGAACAATCACCACCGCACCTGCATGGTTACGAGCCGATTACTTCACGGCATCGTCCGTGGTATCACTCTTCATCGTATCATCTCACCCCCGAGACGGAACCGTCTGGCGAAACGGAGTCAACAGAACCGTGCCTTTTCTCCTGTTGCGCAGACAGACATACCACAACATCAACAACATCCTCCTATCAGGATCTCTCTCTGAGAGGATCCTACACGGAATCGCCGAGTGGTTTCTATTGTTATTCGCCCAAAGATTATCCAGAATTCTTCAACCTTCCCGAGGAACAGCCACCTTCCTCAAAGAGACAAGCTTATTCGTGGAACAATGCTCCCTCGCCGAAGAGACTTTGCCCTGACGACACGGTCTCACAAAGCGTGTCTACGCAAGAGAGGCCTCTTTGCCTCGTCAAACCAAAAAGGGCCTGGTTAATGGCTTCTCGCATGGAGGCGCTTGCTAGGTCGGCTATCTCAGAGTCGGATGCATCGCAGCCCTCGTCGTCAGCATCGACCAGGGACGACGGCATTCTCTTTAAACCGTACCTGGATAACCCTGTGTGCAGGCCCGCGAGTAACGACGCCGTCCAGCGCGACCTATCTCCCAATACCAGGGAGAACATTATTAACAACAATAACAACAATAACAACAGCAGCAGCGGTAGCAGCACCGACAGTGGGATCAACGACAACGACATCATCAATTGCCGGAGCGTCTGCAACATGAACGAAGATCACAACGGCAGACTCCCCTTCAGTATGCGACTGCCGCTCTCTCTGAAGCCTTTGGATAGACGATGCGCGGATCTGCAGCAGATCAGTAGCACGTTTACCAGGTATCCGATGCACCATGGGACTAGAGATCGTTGCTCGTTCAACGATCTGTACCTTCGTCCTACCTACGAGACGCGAACAACGGGCAATCGCGGCATCGCGCTGATCGACCGGAGCGGCTTTGTAATCGTAGGACACCCTCATTTAATCGTAGACGAGGAAGACGCGATTGCGATCGCGTCGATCTGTAGTTAATTACTTTACTTTAAGGATACCAAAAATGTCGGATTCGCGTTCAGGATGAGAAAGAGAGAGAGATAGGGGGGGAGGGGGGAGGGAAGAATCTACCGGCGAAGGATCGATCCGTACGTGATCTGCGACACGTAGCGAGCCACGTAAGCGCTTATCGTTTCCGCGGATCGGCCGGTGCCGCGTTATATATCGCGATAAAGTCTTAATCGGCCATTGGACGAGTCGAGGCGTAGAAGGAGATTATACATGGTCGCGTCCTCGGCTGGCGTCTTCTTCCAATTCCGCTAGACTTTCTCGATGATCCCCCTTCCCTCCCCGCCGCCCTCCCGTCTCGCCGTGCAAAAAATCGCGCAGATAGATCCGGCGGATTCTTTTTCCTGTGGCCTTATCGTCGAGATTAGAGCCCGCTCGTTATCTCGCTAGGCCGTTTAGAGGTCGAATGCGTTCGCTATAATTATAAAATTATGTCAGCGCGGTTTGTCCGTTGCGACGCATCCGAGGGATGGAAGAAAATCCGGACGGAGATAGCCTGAGCCGCTGATGGCAACATTTTGGCGCGTAACGCGTAACTAATTTGATTTACAGAGGTTCCGAGAACTTTGGCACCCACGAGATTCGTCCCCGACGTGATCGGGAATTTTTCGGGTCTTCGTCCGCGTTAGGGTCAGTTTCTTTCAAAATCGCCGGGAAACCGGAGTCCCGTCGTCCTCTGAATGATCTTATCGCGACTGCAGCTGCCCCTTGTCACTTGATTGTGCGATTGCATTATGCGATTAAGCATTATGCGATGCGGATTCTTCTAAGCAACGCACCGCTTTATGATTCCGCAAGATCACTTCCGTCATATTCCCACGTTTCATCGTATCTAGTTCAATCTCGGTTCTAGTTAGGATAGTTTAGTTTAATTTATTTTTCCCCTTCAACCATCTCTCTAGAGTTTAATACACCTTATTTTAGTTTAATTTAATTTTGCACTTTAGCGTAGCTTAACACTTACTCAATTTAGGTTTCGTGACCGAAAAACAAAAAAAAAATAAAAACAAAAAAAATAAAAAATCACAAAAACAAAAAGAACATAAAAATCATTCGAAGAATTATAGAGAAAAAAAATTCGAAATTCTTCCATTAAATCGCGTAAAACTATCGTACAAAGAACTTCGAAACTGTCCTTAGGATCGCAAAAGGAAATTCGAAACTATCGACGAATCGCATGATGCCAAAGTGACCGGAATCGCATTAATATGCGGCAGTAATAAGTAGTAATCAGCAGTGGACGTTAAACATTCCCGTCGGGCGAATATTACTTCTCTTCTCATTGGAAGGCATTGAGAAGATGCGGTTGTGTTTGCCCAGCGCCCACACGGAATATTCCCGACGAATCTCTCTGGCACGTTCGTACTCGCGCGAGTGGTGATCCACCTTCGGTTTCTCACACACGCGTCGCGATGTCTTGCATAGACTCCGCTAATCGCACGGATGCGTTGCACCAGACAAAGGCTAAACGGAAAGGAAAAAAATAGAACAAGCGAAAAACGATTTCGGACTTACCTCTTTCTGGATGCCTTTTCCCGGTGTTCCGCGGAAAGCTACGTCGTCGTCGGATAGAAACGCCGGCGGCGGACGCTCCGTTGCACAAGTTCTCGGTAACGCGACGCGCTACTCATCATTATGTTTTCCGCGTTCTGGCCGCGCGCGCGATCGCATTCGTCACCGGCCGCGAATCCGCAGTCGATCTCTGTGCGGCGATCGTTTAATTGCTCAAACAATTTCTTCCATGTGCGCACATTGCGTCACACGCAAACTACTTAGTATTACAACACCATCCTCGTTCCCTTCGATCATGCCTTCAGCGTCTGTCCAACCGGCCGTATTCGTCAGGATCTATCGGCAAAATTAACGGTAATTTCGTTAAAATTCTTCGGCCCAAGTTTTTCGGAACATGCACACACACACACACACACAAGGTCAAATTTATAATTATGTGTACATCAACGTGTCCGCGCTATATCTAATTACAAAACATAAATAATGATACAATGATGATTCATTTCATCATCGATCGGCGAATAGCGATGCCTTATATGTGATATGTTGAAAACAAAGAGAAAAGATTGAAGACACATACAGCTCTGTTGGAATAAAAAATATAATAAGTACATTTACATGTACAAATTAATTTTACCGTTAATTAGATTGGCCACTCAGTTGGATGGACGTCAGAGATGGAATTTTCACTTTTCGGCGGTTATTGTCTTTTCAGTTTCTTCTCTTGCTTCTTATTCTTCTTCTTCTCTCTCTCTCTCTCTCTCTCTCTCTCTCTCTTTCTCTCTCTTCTTCTTTCTCGCATCATTTCCTCTTATAGGCGCTGTTTACAAATATAGAAATATGTACATATCCCGCGAGGAATCATTCGACTTTTTATTATGTACAGGTTGGAACGCTGTCTGACACCGTCGAAATTCGGAGCATTCTCTATTTTGCATTTAATATAAACATCGTAATAATATTCGGAAAATTCTACGACGACGATCTAATGTCCCCGCGTTTAAAACGAGACGGGCTATTTTTGTATGATCACTTTCGTCCAAGCAAAAAAATAAAAGAGAGAGAGAGAGAGAGAGAGAGGAGTGAATAAGAATTTACGAGAGAGAGAGAGAGGGAGAGGGAGAGAGAGAGGAAAGATGGAAGCTCGAGGTGCAACGAGTCACAAGCACTTCCGCCGGAGATCACTTCGTGTGCCTTTATTTCGTAGGGATAAAACGAGACACAGAAGCGTTCTCGATGCACGGCAAGAGGCGTCGTGCGTTGTTCGTATACGCAATCGTGCAGGGAGAAATATTTCGCGAATGACCGTAGATTCGATAGACAAGAACGTGCACGAGTGCGCTCGCCGTGCACCTCGCTCTCAGTGTATTAATTTGCCAAATAACGACAAAGACTGATGGCGGTCCGCTGTGCGATTGAATAATAATTCGCCCGTCGATAGGACATTTGAGAGCGAACGGAAGGAAACACCGCGTTCGCGTGTCGAACGCAAACACACAAATAATGCTGACCGATCGGCGATCAGCGAAATCCCGCGAGTCGGTTAAAGCGATTTTAAAAAAGACACATACGGCTATGTTGAAAAATCTACGTGCCTTATATAATATAATATAATACTATATATATATATATATACATACATACATATATATCTATATATATGTGTGTATATTGTATGAATATATATTTTTTTTAGAGAGCGCACACGACGTGTGTGCCGCGCGTCGAATCTTGGTTTTATACCAGCGACATGTTATATAGTATGACATAATATCGTGTATATTTCTCATAACAATATCGTAGCGTTGTACATATGTAGTAGCGTTAGGAAGAAGCGCGACGGCAAGTCGCACGACACGCGCGGCAGGCAGTTTCGCGAGGAGACGAAACGCGAGCTCCGGCAAAGCTTGCTGTATCCTCGTTCGCTTGCTCGAAGAGTCCCCGCGCCAGAGAGTCGTGTGAGTTCCCGTTTAGATTTGCCGTCGCGCTGAAGAAAGAAAAGCGGAACAACAACCGAAACTGCGATGACTCAGACGTAATCGAGAGTCGCGCGCGCGCTCGTATCAAGCCGAGTTTATCGTCGAAAATATTTTGTGTACACAACAAATAGTTTCGGATGTAATCACGAGCGCGACTCTCGAGCGCTCCGAAATGCCCTGAAACATGCGTTTGGACAATCAACAGCGATAGGTCTGTTCTCGTTAGCTGAACCGTCTAATGTCAACTTCGACTCTCTACCTTTCGGCGTTTCCCTTCTCTTTGCCGGACCGGCGGAACATTGATTCTCTTTTTCCGCTCGACGTGGCTTCGTGCATACTTCTTTCGTCCTCGCGGCAAAAAGTGCAACCCCAAGTTTAGGTAAAGAGAACAGACCTGATGTATCCTCGTCGAGCCCGCCGTCTCTCCCGCGGGAACGCGGGAAGACAAGTAGCTAAAAACCAGGGGTTGTTTATGAGCCTCGAAAGACCCCTCAAGTGGAATACTGTGTGATTATTGCTCTGATAGTAGGTAGTAGGGCTTTCTTTTCGACCTACTCGCAAACATCATGGGTTTTCGTGAAAAGCGACAGCGAAGTATCGCAAAGTCTGCTTTTCTTCCTTTCTTTCTTTCTCCGATGAACAATACGCTTTTCTAATAGCCGCTTCCGGGCGATAGAACTCCATAGGATAACGAGTGTTGAGATAGAAAGTCACGAAGACGTAAGGTGAAAATGAACGATCGCCGAGAGCGGCGTCTGTTTTACAATCGCGCAGACCTCCAAAGCCCACGACGTCGCGAAGAAAAAAAGTTGCAATCTACAAAGTTACAAACTTCACGGCGATTTCTCCCCGCGCGAGGACGCGAGGCTCCTTCCAGGCATGACACGGCTGTTTCAATATTTGTGAGGAATTTGACCGATCGATACCGATGGAAGTTGGAAAAGAAGCAGCGCGGCCGTACTATGATTTTATCCACTCGTTAATATCGCGCGCGCGCGCGCGCATATATATGTGTTGGTTTCTTTCGGGCTGAGAACGCGATATCTGCCGCAATCTAACTCGCGCGAGCTGCCTTAGCATCGGCCAACAATGATTCACAAAGGTTTCCCTCTGATAATTCGCCGGCAAGGTCGCGAGCGCGAAAGAGCTCTCGCTTATCTCCCCGAGAATCGCGAGAATGCGCGGAGCAGCGCGGCGCGCTTCGCCGCGCCGGCGGACGGATGGCGCCGATTTTCGCGCACTGGGAACGCGCGCGCGCGCGCGGCTGCATTCATACGCTCGAGACAAACATCGGCACGAGCGATAACATCGCGTCGTGATTATTCTCTCGCTCGGAGGGACTTCGGCCTCCTCACCGTGGAACCGAGCGCTCGCCGCGATCAGCCGACGTGATTCTTCCAGCGATGCGCTAATTCTCTCAGCCGCCGAATTCGCACGCGAGGGTCATCTTTCGTCCCGCTGACCTGGTAGAGATCATCGGGCTTGGCCGGTCGAGAATCTTTCAGCTCATTCCGCCGGACAGGTATATTCTTGCTCTCTCACTTCCGCCGCCGATCGTCGAAGATAATAGCGACTTAAAAACCCACGATGTTTGCAGGTAGCGCGACCGCCGGAAACGAGTGCCGGCACTCTCTCGGGTCTCTTCTCTGTTCGATCCAATTTCCAGTTGGAAATGGAAATTCTCTTTTCCCTTAGAATTTTAGTCCTAATTCGTCATTGGATTTCAACGAACGAGGTCACACGCGATCGAAACTCGTGAACGCGTCTCCGTGGCTGCGCGACGAATCCCAATTATCGCGGGTGGATTGACATCCCGGCCGGATTTCTGAGCAATCGAGCGGTTGCCAGGCGACAGCCAAGAAGGGCAATTCTGTAAATCACCGCCGCAGACAGGGCAGTTACGTTAATGTTTCAATATTCCCGCTTAATCGAGCTCATTCGCGGCGCGCATTATCCGATGCGATTGCCCGCGCGCGCGCAATCGCCTCGTACCGAGCGATCTAATTTATCGTCTCACGAGTGATAAATCCTCCCGATGGTTACACACGTGCGCTAATTACTCCCACGACGACGATCGGCAGAGACAGCCCCGACTTTCGCGTTTTGAAACAAGTGTCGCGCGCGTTTTTCCGCGCGATTCACCTTTTCTTCTCCACCACCCGAGATTCCTCCCGAGCGCCCCGAAAGTGCCGCGCGTAACGAACTTCCGGCTCACTGCAACACAGCATTGAGCGAAAATAAGAGCGTGAAAAGAAATCACGGAATAATTCCCCAGCTGAATTCCACAATGGAGAGGGCGGCGAGTGAGTGGAGTGGAGGGGAGCGCGAGCGCGAGCTCGACGAGGAAAATAGGACCGTGCCTTGTCCGCGATCGTTGTGGTGGTCAAGGCGACAGTGTACAATAAAACTTAGCGTAATCGTAAGCCATAATGAGTTACATAATGCCATAACGTTTTACACAATAAAGCGTCGAGTGACTGACGAAAGGAGCGGTGCTCGATAGCGCGTAAGATATCCGCAGCCGGAGTGTGCCTTAGGTGTACGCGTGTGCGTTAATGCGTTAGTCCCCGTATGCGCGTGTGTGTGCGTGCGTTTGTGCGTGTGTGCGCCCCGTCGTATGTACCACAGCCCACAAGAGTCTATTAACATGGCATAAGGCGTATATAGTATATTTTCTAAGGGAAGAGAGTGGGGGAGCCTCTCCCGTGGGCGAACCCCTGTGCGTCTTATATATATATATATATATATATATATATAGAATAGAGAGAGAGAGAGAGAGAGAGGAGAGAGAGAGAGAGAGAGGAAGAATCCGCATAACAAAACAACAGAAAAA